AAACGAGACCAGCTGCAAGGCTCATTAACATTCACATAATAAATTCGTTTCGCTGTTTGAATGAATAAACTAAAAAAATTGCTTTAATCGACTACTTTGGTTAGTTTTCTACGAATTTCTAAGTAAAATAAATTGAGATCACCGTGCCGTGCTCAAATCAACTGATCAATCCTTGCTGCACTTTCATGTCATAAGCGCCCTGCTTTATGTACATTTCTATGCAAGATAATAATATTAACAGCTTCAATCTGTTATGACCCTGTATGCATACATTAGGCGAGATTGGGGTTACTCAAAATCCCTACAATATATAAAGGTTTGGGGGATTATTGCGAAATTTTCCTCGGATTTTGAAAGACAATTTTACTCAATTTTCGACATTTCAGGTCTGTAACACATACAGAAATTTTATGTACTTTATCCCCGAGCCGACGGCGCGAAGCGCCGTGCGAGGGTACTGATTGCCCTCGGCTATTTACACCCGGGGAAACGAAAGCATTAGCGAAGTCTAAAGTTCATCAAATATCGCGGGCGTGGGTCACTGTGCGTGGGTGGTCATCCTCACTGATCTCAAAAATATGGCGGACTGTCATGAATAGCGAACACTGTGATTGGTCCAATTTAAAGTTTGCATTATGACGATTGCATGACGACAGCGAAATAACAAACATTTCTTGATTTGATCACAGAATAGGAAGGTATAGCAGAAGCGTAACTCAAGCAAGTATTTGTCCGCGTTTTTACAAGCGATTCGTCATCAATCACGCCATCCTGGCTAGTACAACCGGCACTTTGTACCTAGCAAAACCTGATAAAAACTTCCGGTTGTACTAGCCAGGATGGCGTGAGCGAGTCAAAATTTTCGTGGACGTAAAACAATAAGGGAATTACGCTTCTGCTATAGCTTCTTATTCTGTGTTTTGATGATTGATAAATTTCTTTGTTGCTCGCATTTTTGCAAGATTCTGTAAATTTCAAGAAAGAAAGGGCGAAATAATCGGCTAAAAGAAGGAAGCCGACGTTAGCGAAGGTAAGTTTGTTTTAAATATTGATTTTATAATTGCTTTAAAACCCGACGGCCTTTGCGTACAGCTATATGAAACAACTAAACAAGACTGCATATAATTTCATTGTATCTTTAATATTGATTCCCTTTTTTATTATATTGATTTTTTTAAATAAATAAAAAGAAAGCAAAGTTATTTGCATGCGAGAATTTGAAATCATTTTATTGGAAACTCAAAGTTTATTGATAAAGCCATTTAATTAAAGGCAGTTTTATAGTTTTATAAAGAACACTTTAAAACGTTTTGCGAAGCGTTTGTGGTTGAATTTTACCTTAAATTGAAGCTTATATTACGTATAATATCATACCTAACATATATATGTTGGGAGATTGATAATTTTATAATTAAAAGTGATATTTTTAGGCGATTTTTCATTTGGAAGAATATTCTTAAAAAATTATCGTGTTACCATAACAACTACTTTACATACTTCATGTTCGGAAAATATAATGGTTTTGTCAGCAAGGCGAGGGTTTCTGCATGCATGTATTTTCCAGCATGAGCTCCACCTTTGAATTTACTATATGAGTAAATTCTTAAACACGTCCGAATTTATCATTATGATAAATTCGCGACAAATTTTGAATTTATCATAATAGTAAATTCGCGGCACTAACACGAACCCTAACCCCAACCCAACCCTAACCACTAACCCCTAACCCCTAACCACTAACCACTAACCCTAATTTTTTTAACTTTTTAAATTTTTTTAACTTTTTTAAAAATCTAACTCTCTAAACCTTTCTTGCTCTTTAAAACTCTTTTAAAACTTTTTAAAAACTATTTTTTTAAAAAACTTGAAAAACTCCCCACGCCTGCGCTACCAGCCTCCCTTCTAGTGCCATTACATTTATAACAAGAAACCTTGTGCAATGATTGTGGTTTTATGATTAACTCTATTGATAAATTCAATATGTGCCGCGAATTTATCATAATGATAAATTCGGACGTGTTTAAGAATTTACTCATATAGTAAATTCAAAGGTGGAGCTCATGTTGGTATTTTCTAGTAAGTAATATATCACGACTTTACTGGATATCCAGACTGCGCAATTATAAGTAATAGCATGGCATTCAGGGCGATTAGTAATTAAGAGGCATTTTTTTCATTGTCGCGTATTTACAATGAAAAATGTTCAAAATCGTAAATCTTTTTGGCGTTCCTCTCAGAATCACTTTGTTTTTGCATTATTCTCTAGCTTATACAGTTAGCTACCTTTTTAAATGCATCTGCCGGTTGAGAAACATAAAATAATAGTTAAAAATTGTCAATTAAAATACAATTATCAATGATGCTTTAAAATTGACGCCATATTTATTATTAGCAATATAAGCAAAACTTACTGAATTTCAGACATAATTTTCTCTCTGGCGTATCATCTAAAATCTCTTCATTTTAGCATTATTTTACAGATAAAGCACTAAACATACTTTTCAAGTTTCTTTGGCGATTGAGAAACGTTTCGAAAAATAAAAATTTTGAATTTAGTCATAACCTCAAGTGACATATTATACGCATTAGTTTTGAGCGCTTGTTACGTAACATACAAAAAAATCTCCTCTTAAATATCCAAGAGAGGTTTAGTAATAGCCCCCGAGGCGCGCAACGCCGAAGGACTTTTATTAAACCTCTCAAGGCTTGAGGGACATTTCATCAATAATCGACCGTAATGCCATCTTATCGATCACTTTGTAATATCGTAGATACCGAAACAATAAAACGATTTCATTCGATTGAATGAGTTGAAATGAAAAGGCGCGTTTTCCTTTTGACATGAATGTTATAGGATGTTTGTTAATGAGGTTACGGATGATTTTTCATGTCTGTTAAATACTTAATTGAACATCAATATAAGAGGTTATGCGTAAAGATGAGGGACGATATAATTAGTTTCTAATCGTCCTTCATGTTTTAACAATGAGGTAAATTAGCCATTCAAACACTCATTAATAATTCATAAGCTTATTGGCAAATCATGTCAACCATAATGTGTCACGTGCAGTGGCTTTAAACCTGATAAACACTCCAAATTAGTATTCTTTATATAAAGAATACTAATAAGGCAGAATCTATTGTTGTCGTGTCCCCATTACTATTCTTTGTATAAAGAATACTAATAAGGCAGTATATCTATTGAATTTGTAGTCGTGTTTGAAGCCGTTTAATAAACTCACAGGTCGTATTTTATTAGGTCTAAAGCCACTCGCGATGCGCACTCGTGGCTTTAAACCTAATAAAACACTCCTGCTCGTTTATTAAACAGTACTTAATCGTCCCTCGCGAAACAAAGGATTTCGAGGTAGGTATGATATTGCTGAAATAATTGCAAGAACTGGATATCCGGTACTTCCAATTGTCAGATTTGATATGACATCTCAAACGAATAAATCACTAGCCTATATACACGAAAAAATGAGGTGAACTCATTAGTTTTGATCCTAAGATTGGATCAGTATAACTTATATACTTCACCGGTATTATCATTCGAGCAAAACAAGTAATTATGCATTTGGTTGGCTAACGTCTTCAAGAATTATTAATGTTTTGAGATTATAATTTGATGTCTTTTCTTCTGAGGTCATCTATGCAATGAACTGACCGGCCTCAGGATTGGGTGTAGTTAAAAGGCGGGCGCGGACTGGCGGACGCGGACCGGCGGACGCGGACTGGCGGACGCGGACTCGCGGACGCGGACCCGCGGAAAAAATTTTTTTACCAATTTTTTAATTATTGGAAATAAATTTAATTATAAATAAATTAATATTAAAAAAAATATTAATATTATTATTAATAATAATTAACAATTATTCTCCGAAGGCGAGGTGATTATCGGTGAATAATTTATTCACGATGATCACCAAGCCTGAGGTGAATAATTGTTTTAGTATAATTTCACAGGTGATTATTTGGGAAAAAATAAAAAATACACATTTCTTCGTCAGTTAATTGACAAAACGGCTTCGGCCGCCATTTCGAAAATCGCTTAGGTGCGTTATAATTACCTCAACGGCAACCAATCAGAGTGGAGAATTTTCAATAATCACCTATGTAATTAATAATAATATTATATATTACATTAATAATATCATTTTTTCCCCTTCACATCATGCGACAACCGAATTCAATAATTGTTTAATAATCTCGTGTCACGCGTTGACACCAGAATTCGATTTATTCATACAGGATCAAATATTTTAAGGAAAGCGTCCAATCACATTGTATTCGACTTAGTGTGTACTTTAACTTTCGGTAACACTGTAATAGTATCATGGCGAACTACATAACAACTTTTAAGTGTATTCTATGAGTGTCAGTCTGCGTGCAGTCAATTGAAGACCGGAAAGAAAACTGATGCGCGATAAAACGCGGCTGTCAAAAGCATCACGATAATTTGGATATTGATGGTCGTGATGATTAAGATCTTACGAAAATTTTCCTTTCAGTGGCATTGAGAGTGCGGAGGATAGAAAGTTCTTTATGCAACAGTTATCGAAAACGCAAGTTGTTTTCCGGTTTTCCATGTATAAAGTTCTGATTATTGATACAGTATTGTTAGTTTTAAAATTATTAAAGGACCATTGTTACGTTATGTATTGTCTATATTTTCCCAACATGAGAGCGCTCAGTATGACACCCTTGTTTTAATCCAACCAGCTGTTTCGTATCTAGCTTCTGTGATATAATTAGCATAAGCATACTCTGCCCACCCGGGTGAGTATATTTGTAACATATTTATGCTTGAATAATTAATATCTGTTTGTGTTGTGATTGTCAGCCATCTTGAATGAATGTCTTTATTTTATATGGTGTCAGGATCCTTATGAATCCGTGCCGAATTCAAGCCATCAGGCTCGAATCTAAATGAAAACTGAAAGAAGAGTTCTTTCTAAATATAATAGTTTAGTAAACGAGAAAAAAAATATATATATATAATGGCGAAATTTAAGACCCCAGAAATGTCTTGGATTGTACAAGATTTAAATCAAGAATGGCGTCGATTCTATAGACAAGCAATGTGTATTTTCGAAGGTCCTTTACACGATAAAGAGGACGGCGTTAAAGTCAGCTATGTAAAGTTGTGGGTAGGCGATAAAGGACTTGATGTATTTGAAGGATTTACCTTTGCCGAACCCGCTGATGCAAAGAAATTAGACATTGTACTAAAGAAATTCGAGGACTATTGTAGTCCACGTAAGAACTATATCATGGCCGCTTTGAAATTTAATGAAAGACGTCAAGGAGATAATGAGAGTTTTGAGTCTTTCGTAACAGATCTCAGGATTCTGGTAAAAGATTGTGGTTATAAAGACGAGGAACGTATGGTTCGTGATGCAATCGTTTTTAGTTGTAAACACACGAAGGTTCGTGAGAAGTGTATCGATTTGGCCGATACTTTGACATTAGAAAAGGCTATTGAAATCGGACGAAGCCATGAAACCAATTTAGCTAGCTTAAAGAAGCTCACGAAAGACGAAGACCCGAGCATTAATGCCATTAAACCGGTACAGTACCGTCAGCGAGACCCTCAAAGCCGTCGATACTCAAATAAATTGCACACAGAGCGAGAAAACCCAAGTCGTGGATTGGACAGCATGTCGAATGACAGGTGTGGAAGATGTGGTTTCGATAAAAATCACCAGAGATGCCCAGCAATGGGTCAACAGTGTAGACGATGCCAAAAGATGAATCACTATGCAAAGGTCTGCCGAGCCAAACCAGTCAACAACGTACAGTTACAGGGAAAAGAGGACACTAGTTCCGAGGACAGTGACTCATCCTTATTTGTATATGCAATTGAGTCAACCATTCCATCTGAAGATGAACAATTTTACGAAACTGTTGATGTAGAAAATATCAAAGTTAAATTTCAGTTGGACAGTGGGGCAAAAGCAAATGTTATGTCTTTTAAGACCTATAACAACCTCAAGTGTACATCTCTCCGCCCACTGAAGAAAACAAATACTGTCTTGGTTTCTTTTTCCAAGCACAAATTAAAACCATTCGGAGAAGTTGTGTTAAAAGTAATGTATAAAGACCACACAGAAGATATAAAATTTTTTGTTGTGGAATCTGAAGTTGAATCTGTTCTTAGTGGAAACACTTGTGTCAAACTTGGTTTGCTGAAGAGAGTTTACCAAGTTGTAAGTCAAGAAGCATCATTAAAGAAAGTTACATTGGATGACTACCCTGAGCTGTTCAAAGGATTAGGATGCTTACCTGGTAATTATCATATCGAACTAAACGAAGGTGCTACCCCTGTTGTCCATGCTCCAAGAAAAGTACCAATTCCACAGAGAGAAAAAGTTATCGAAGAGCTGAAAAGAATGGAAAGACTTGGTGTGATCGTGCGACAGGAAGAAGCGACAGATTGGGTCAACTCGATGGTCGTGGTTCAAAAGCCTAATGGTGCAGTGAGATTGTGTATTGATCCGAGGGATTTGAATGCCGCCATGAAAAGATCCCGCCATCCGATGAAGACTGTGGATGAAGTCGCCAGCCGTCTCGAAGGTGCTAATACCTTTAGCATATTGGATGCAAAGAATGGTTTCTGGCAACTGAAATTGGATGAAGAGTCTTCACTCCTCTGCACCTTCAACACACCGATAGGACGGTATAGATTTACAAGGCTACCTTTTGGAGTAAAATGTGCCCCAGAGATTTTCCAAAGAACCATGGATAGAATGGTTGAAGATTTAGACGGTGTGGAGGTTATTATGGATGATGTAATTGTCGCCGGGGATGAAACAACGCATGATAAACGATTGACCAAATTCTTGGAGCGAGCATCTACACAAGGATTAAAGCTCAATCGAGAAAAATGTAAGATTCGCCAGAGAGAAGTGCCTTATGTAGGGCATCTCCTCACAGCGGAAGGTTTGAAGATGGACCCTCGGAAAGTTGAAGCTATTCGAGAAATGCCAACGCCAAATAGCAAAGAAGACGTCAAACGATTTCTTGGATTTGTGCAATTCCTAAGTCGGTATATTCCTGGATTATCTAAGGTAGATGCACCGTTGAGAGGGCTCGAGAAAGCCGATGTACTGTTTCACTGGGATCAACCACAGCAAACAAGCTTCGAGAAGATCAAGGAACTTGTCTCACAATCACCAGTCCTACAGTATTATGATGTAACCAAACCGGTAACAATCCAGTGTGATGCAAGTGGCAAAGGATTAGGTGCAGTGTTACTACAAGAGGGAAAGCCTGTATGTTATGCTTCTCGAGCTCTTACGGACACTGAAAGCAGATATGCCGCCATCGAAGCCGAAATGCTTGCAGTGGTCTTCGCCTGTCATAAGTTCCATCAGTACATATATGGCAGAAGTGTGGTTGTCGAGACAGACCATAAGCCACTACAAGCAATCAGCAGCAAACCGTTGTCGCAGGTTCCGTTGCGACTTCAGAAGATGATTCTTAACGTGCGTGGATACGACGTGAAGATACGTTATGTTCCTGGCTGTAAACAAGTATTAGCTGACACTCTGAGTCGAGCATCGTTGCCAAATACTGAACAGGAAATTTATGAAGAATTCCAGGAAGTTCATATGGTTCTTGCAGTTTCTGACGAGCGATATGAGGAATTCCAGAAGGAGACCAAAACCGATCCAGAGCTACAAGCAGTCCTTACGTTAGTGAAGAGTGGTTGGCCTGACACGAAACAACAAGTTCCCGTTGAAGCCAGACCTTACTGGACCTTCAGAGATGAAGTTGTAACAGCAGATGGGTTGCTCTTTAAAGGAACACGCCTAATCGTGCCAAGAATTCTTAGATCAGATATGCTTTGTCAAATCCACAAGAGTCATTTGGGGATAGTCAAATGCAGACAAAGAGCCAGAGATGTATTGTTTTGGCCTGGCATGTCAGTACACATTGAAGAAATGGTTGCCAATTGTAGCGTGTGTGCAGATTATGCGAATAAGCAGCCTTCAGAACCTTTGAAACCAACTGTTCCTCAAAGTTTCCGTGGGAAAAGATAGGAACTGACTTATTTGAATTTCGTGGAGAACATTTTTTGGTTTCTGTGTGTTACCGTAGTAAGTTTCCAGAGGTTACCAAGATGGAATCGACAAGAAGTAGTGCTGTCGTAGACGAGCT